TTGTAAGGTGAGAAACTAAAAAAGCAAACTTTAAATAATAATAATTTAATCTAAATTCATTTTAGTATTTTAATTACACCTTTCCTTTTTTATTAATTTTCTTTATTGCAGTTTTAGATTTTATATTTTCAGATTCAAATCCCTTTATTTCAGTTTCCTTTGCTTTTTCAGTTTCAGGTTTTTTTTAAACTCTTTTAAATAATTTTTTTTTTACACCTTCAGATTTTCAAAATGTCTGTTAACTTCTAAACCTTTGTTGAAACTGAAAAAAATAGAAGTTATTTAATGTCAGATTTTTACCTTGTAAGGTGAGAAACTAAAAAAGCAAACTTTAAATAATAATAATTTAAGCTAAATTCATTTTAGTATTTTAATTACACCTTTCCTTTTTTATTTATTTTCTTTATTGCAGTTTTTAATTTTATATTTTCAGATTCAAAACCATTTCTTTCGTTTTTTTTAGTTTCAAATAACTTTTTCAGTTTCAGGATTTTTTTCTTTTTATACTTTCAAATCAGTTTTTTTTTAACCTTCAGATTTTGACCCCAATCTGACGGGAGTGGGCGGGGAAATATGATTGACAGCTTTCAGCAGTGTTGAAGTGATGTCCAATTCCATGTTGCATTCATGGACTGTGGGAACTCCAACTAGTTGAGCAAGTAGCTGTAGTTCCCAAAGTACACAGATGCATAGAAAGGGACATTTGATCACTGCTGCACTTCAGGAAATAGAAATGTTTATTTTACTGCTAAGCTGCTGCTCGTTTACTATCTGAAAGCTGTAAAGAATTTGTATATACTATGTGTATACAAAACAAAGGTAAAAATTGTCTGATGACTTAAGTTTCCAGTCCTGCTGTCAATCATGTTTCCCCTCCCACTTCCATCAGATTGGGGTCAAAATCTGAAGGTTAAAAAAAACTGATTTGAAAGTATAAAAAGAAAAAATCCTGAAACTGAAAAAGTTATTTGAAACTAAAAAAAAAGGAAAGAAATGGTTTTGAATCTGAAAATATGAAATTAAAAACTGCAATAAAGAAAATAAATAAAAAAGGAAAGGTGTAATTAAAATACTAAACTGAATTTAGATTCAATTCTTATTATTTAATGTTTGCTTTTTTAGTTTCTCACCTTACAAGGTAAAAATCTGACATTAAATATCAACTTCTATTTTTTCAGTTTCAACAAAGATTTAGAAGTTTACAGACATTTTGATCCCTTTCTGACTCCATATAAACGGCTCTTCCATTATTCACTGATTAAATTGCAGGTTGATCAAAAGCTCAGCGTTTTATAAATGAAAGAAAATTTGGTAAAGTCTGGAACTAAATCATCAGCTTGCTCTGACATCGAAACACTGGAAATTCAAAAAGGAAAAACAGTTGATGCAGACGGGCTAACGTTAGCCCTTCCTGTCAGCTTCAGCTTATTCCTTTCCTTGGTCTCTACAGGAGCGCCACCCAGGGGACAGTAAGAATTACAACGAGTGCATCCGCCATGAAACCATGAGGGTGGCTGTATGCGACATGCTGGAGGGCAAAGTTCCCTGTCCTGAGGCTCTGAGGTCAGCAAACACACACCAGGAGCAGTTAGTGTTTCCTGACTTGGATGCTGCGTTTACTGTTTTCTGTTTCTGACTGACTGAACGTATCGCCATGTTTGCTGTTTGTGGGGTTTAGTAGCGTGATGGAGAAGTCCTTCCTGGAGTACTACGACTTCTATGAGGGCGTCTGCAAAGAGAGGCTGCATCTGCAGGGTCAGAACATGCAGGTGAATCCAGTTTTTAAAATCATTTTTGACTGAAATTGACAATAAAATACAGGCTCATGGTTATTCAGGCTTATAAAGTGGGCTGATCTAGATTTAGAACAACGATCATTCAACAGGTTTCAGAAGATGGAAAAATGTCAAAGGACGGAGGGATTAGAATCCTTTTTATTAAAAATCCTCATTCATGTTACTGCGGTCAAACCGTCGTTTAAACGCTGATCCACGTCCAGCTTCCTGCGTCGCTGTGAGGGACCGAGATGAAAAGCATGAGGAGTCACAGGAATTAATTCAAAAATAGGGTTTTTTATTTTTAACCCAAAAACAGAAGCTTACAAAAAATACATGGGTTCAAGTCATAAAAGAGGCCAACCAACAAGAGAAAATTTAACTCAAGCAAACTCTGCCCAAACTAACTAGCCTGATTTTTGTACGTCCAGCACACGCTGTTCTAAACCTTCTAGGTGTGACAGGAGCCTCAGAATCACCTCTCTGCCTCAGGCAGCAACGAAACCACCCCGTGGCGTTTATTGCTGTTTTTTCTTTTCTTTAGACGTAGATCTCATTGTGATTTTAATATATGAACATTCTCTATCTGTTCTGGAATGTTGTAGAATGTGCCAGTGTTTTTTATTTTTATTAACTTTTAATAATCTGTCCAAGTCAAACATGGGAAATTGTTTTGCTTTTTGTATAACAAAGAGACAGAAGTGAAATAATTGAGCTCTGATCTGCTCGCCCTGCCTAGTCGGAGCCTCAATATGCTGTCAGTGGGACATTAAATTAAAAAGTCGGACGCAGCCGATGTGTTCACGCCTTTTAAACTTTAACAGGGAGCTTTATTATGATCATTAAAACACATCCAGTGTCTGGTGCTACAGGAAGTTAAGCTGGATCAGATTAATTCTGTTACTTAACCGATTGTAGGCTGAGTGTCAGAGCTGGAGGAAAAAACTGTGCAACCAGTGTTTCTGTCCCCAGCATCGTCCACTGCACATCAGTTCCACTCAGGCAGACTGGGAACGATAGGGCGTTCAAATTTGGTTCCATGTCGTTTATTTAATGGATGTTATCAGATAAAACAAATCCCTAATGAAATGAACTAAATGAATAAAGGTATGTTCAAGTCTGGCAGATCTAGATTGAAGGGATTTTCTTTCCTATCCAGACGTGTAAGTGTTAATCCCGTTAGAACCATTTTTCTTGGCCTGTTGCTTGTGTCTTTAGCTAAACGTTCAAATGCTGGTGCACGGAGCTTTGGCCTTTTCTCAATTCACAAGAACACAAGTACAGACTTGTGTCCTCACCAAAAATGTTCTTGAGAAGAACACAGGAAAGTCTAGGCTCTGGAGAACGGGAGAACGCAGAATAAATCTAGGTCAGTTGGAACAGAAGCGTGCTGATGACATCACCACATTCAAAGCTAGACTGGAGCTGCATTTCACCTCCTAGATAATAATAAATTATTACTTTTTCATTTAGTGGGTTAGTTATTAACACAGTCAGGTAAACCAAAATCCAATTAACATTTTGAGAAATAAAGCAAAAAAAACCCAACAACAAACAAAAACACAGCCAGTGGTACGCTAACGTTAGCCCTGGCCGCCGCAGACAGGCTAACGTTAGCCCTGGCCGCCGCAGACGGGCTAACGTTAGCCCTGGCCGCCGCAGACGGGCTAACGTTAGCCCTGGCCGCCGCAGACGGGCTAACGTTAGCCCTGGCCACCGCTAACCTGGAAGCTGTCAGAGTCCGTACTCACGTTCTAGTGAATTGAGAAACGGCAATTGTCTCATGTAGATTCTTCTTCGTTGGTATCTGAAATATTCTGAGAACTGAAGGGTTCCAGTGGATTCTTGATGCTCCACCTCATGTAGAACAGAAGTCACCGGAAAGAAAGAACCGGAAAAACAGACAACACCGACATGAGATGCTGAATCATTTTCTGCTTGATTGATTTTTTTTTGGTGACGCCATCCTGTATGGAAGCAAATCGTTACCATATTTCAAAATAATTTTTAAAGAATGTGGCTGCATTACTTGATTCATAAATAAAATTAGTAATCAATCACCCTATTTGCATTTTCATTTCTTCTTCAACACCGCTCATCCTTTTACTTAATTAACATGAAAAAGAAAAAGACATTTGAAATTTATATTTCAAAAAGTACCTCAGCAAATTCATACCAAAATTCAATTTGAAATGTAAAATTAAGAATGTGGCTGCATTTTTTGACTCATAAATGAAATTGGTAATCAATCATATTATTTGCATTTTCTTCTTTAAGGTTGCTCATTTTATACCATAATCAGAGAAAACACAGCGGACATTGCTTTGCCGTTTTCATGGTCTGCCTGCAAAGTTCTGTCCATAACTCGAAAAGGAAAAAGCATTCTGAGCGGCGGGGCAGCAGAGTGACGTCAGCAGCCGCTCTTCCTCAGGTCCTTGCTGACCGGGCTGCCCATCTTGTTCGGTAGGGGGCGGTGTGTACATCTGCATTGCATTACATTGTAAGCGTGCCGCTGGAACACTGATTGAATTGCTGGGTCTGATTATCGGGATATTCTGAACGACTACAATGACCAAAAGCACTTTCTCTAAAGCAGCAGGGCTTCCCTCCGTAGCTCTGCCACTGTTTTGGTCATTTCAGATTGATTTTTGGTTTGTATTTGCTGGGGTACATTTTGAAAAATATATCAAATGTCTTTTTCTTTTTCATTTTAATTAAGTAAAAGGATGAGCAGTGTTAAAGAAGAAAATGAAAATGCAAATAGATTACTAATTGTATTTATGAGACAAATAATGCAGCCACAGTCTTAAAGGAATAGTACACCCAAAACATGATTAGCCTTCATTTTCTACTCACCCCCATGCTGAACAACACTCTGGAGTACTTTTT